TTTAAATTTTCGTTCCACCAGGAATCATGTTCGGTGGTGTTTTTAAATATTTTTTTTTTTAAAAAAAAAAAAAAAAAAAAAAAAAAAAAGGCTATTTCAGATGGAAGAGGTAAGAAAATTTCTCTTCTGCAGTTGTACTACAACACAAAAAGTACTGGCCAAAACCTGCTCACTCTAACACAAATCCTGTAACAGACAGATTTCATAAAGAAAAACTTGGGGCGGGAACTTTGATGGTCATCCATACTGCATCCCATCAAACCATGCACACTAGTTAACAACTCCTCTCTCAAAAACATGCTGGTATGAATGGCTAAGACAACTTACTGGCAGACAAACACTACTGCACTTCGTTGTGCAGCAAGTTTCAACTATGTGTGCTCAGAAAAAGCGCTATCCCCACAGTGTTTTTATTCAACATATAAGATTCTAGCAAAGATTTGGGTGCAGTGATGGATTAATTTACACTCTCATTTCACCTATTTTAATTCCTTCTTTAGAAACAAACAGACAGTGTCTGCTTTCATGTGGGCATATTTTTTATACTAAAAAAAAAAAATCCCAAGTATGCAACCAGTTAAGCACAAGGAAAACCAGACATGATCTCTCTTCTTCTTGAATTATGGCTGCAGGCCCTAAAAGATAGACTAATGTCCTTAAAGGACATTAATCTAATGAAGACCAGGTGAATCGCAGCTCTGTGGCAGTTGACACAACTGGAAGACTCTGGGATGTCTAGTTCTTCCTTAGAATGGAACTGAAGAATTTTCACAAGAATTTGGTAACTGGGTGCAGGATCCCTGAAGGATGGCAGCTACGCCCATACAACTGCATGCTATTGCACCAGATAAGCAAAAAGCAAAGAGCAGGATTATTGGGTTTTAATTGGCACATCAATGCCTGAATACATGTGGCTGGTCAGAGCATCTGATCAAAAGAAACTACTGGACAAATATAATTTCTCAAAACAAAACAAGCAAATTTACGCAAAGAAAAGATTTTTAGAATCTTGTTTTTACTTATTATTTTCATGTGATATTGTCTGGGACAAAAAAGATAAGCACTCGCACCTCCTTTGCACAATTAAGACACAGAGGCACATGTAAGCGTCAGAACTACTATTCTATGCTATACTCATGTTTGGGTTGCACCTAAACTGAGAAAGTTGACAGCCATCTATGCGCAGTTAGACATACAGTACGAGAGTACTGTATTTTTGATGTTATTTTTTTCTGTCCCCCTAAGTTTGGAAGGAATCAATCACCCAGTCTGCAGAAACAAAACCAATAAAAGCATCTTATAGAACATGAACTTATTTTAATACTTACCATCTTTAGCTTCTGATCGGTGTCCCAATTTAATCTGAAAATAAATGTCTCATATTATATAAGGTCAAGCCACAGGCCGCAACAGTACAGGTACATCCTTTGGTGTTATTTTTCCAATGCAGGTTGAGTTTTAATACCACATTTTCAAGTCCAGGAAGAGTAAAATTTAATAAAATGTCTCTGATGAACACCTTGAACCCTCATTAAGAGCTGTAGCCACTGCCATCCAATCAGACTCATACATTAGTTGCACAAAAACAAGGTGAAATAGCTCTTTAGTTTTACTTTGCTGTTGTTCTTTTAGTGCTTTAATTAAAAAAAAAAAAAAAAAAGTGCTGTTACTTCTATACGTTAACAATACCGAATATTTTACAAGGACTGCTCTGCAATAATGCCTCCTATGTTATTACACTGGCCTATGATGTCAGAGGTGGATGCTAGCATGGCAGTAGAGGCTGAACCTTCCCATTCTGTGTTGTTGCCATGCGACAGATGGCAGCAGAAGGGTACTCTAACAAAATGACATCTGACATAGAAGTGTGAATGAAGCAAAGGTGTGTTGCTGAACTCCTCCATGCAGAAAAATGGCACCTACCAAGATTCATCGACACTTGCTGAACATTTATGGAGACCAAGCAGCAGGTGTGAGCACAGTGAGGTAGCAGGTGATGCATTTCAGCACAGGTGACGGCAACAGCAGGTCAGCTTCACTGGTACAGATTTATGCCATTGCAGCACGCAGGCTTTTGCTCACTGCTAGTGACAATGCCTAACTAATGGTGGTGTCTCTGCTGAAAAATAGTTTTTGGTATCTCAGAACATGCTCTACCACACAGTGTCACTGTGCTTTTCACATCTGCTGTAGTTTTTACAGAAGTAAAATGGAGGTTTTGCTTTCAGTCCGGCCCATGTATACGTGGCCCAGAACAATCCGACCTCACTACACGTGGCACAGACAAGCAAGAAGGCCAGGCAGCCATGGATTGTGCTACCTTCGTTTTCTTTGCCAACGGCTCTAGCAACCCTCACGCACTACCCACGGCAGCCGTCCACACAAGCAGCGCTGCAGGGCAAGGCGCTCAGCGACACAACAGAGGGACGTTCCGGCACTCACCTTTTTGATAGCAACGATCTGCCCCGTGACCTTGTCCTTTGCCTTATACACAGTAGCAAACTACGGGGAGAGAAAGACGCGCGTGAGCGCATCGGCAGGGCGGCCCGCAGTCCCGAGCCGGCAGGCCCGGACACTGCGGCGGACGGCCCGCCCCGCGCACCCCGGCCACCCCCCAGAGGGCCCCGGCAGCCGCTCACCTGCCCTTCCCCCAAGAAGTCCAGTTTCTCGTAGCGCTTCGCACGAGCCCGCGCATCCATGGCCTCCGAGGGGAAAAGGCGAAAAGAACCCGAGGCCGGAGAGACGAGACACGAAGCAGAAGAGCAACGACGGGGGTTTATCAGCCCCCGCGCCCGGCGTCGCTTCAGGCCCGCAACCCCGCCCTGCCGCTGGCTGCCCTGACGCCGCCGCGCGTCGCTGCAGCGTCAGCTCCGGGGCGGGGGCGGGGGCGGGGGCGGGGGCGGGCCGTGCACCGCCCTGACCGCACTGCTTGGGGGCGGCGGGCTCTGATGGCCGGCTGCCGCGCAGACGCGGTAGGGGTGCGGCGAATGAGACCTCGGTCAGCTGCGCAGAACGCTTCGCGGTTGGGCAAATGGTACGACTGCAATACTGCAGTCGAAGGCTGCGTGGTTTGTAGATGAGCTAGACAGGGAAGGAGGGGCGGGGAATTGCGCTCTGCGTTAAAAACCGGACATGGATTGTGAACATGGATTATGGAGAGCTGCCTGTGAGGAACAGCCAGGGTCAGGCAGAGAGCTCATGGGTAGCAGCAGGAACTGGTCCATTGAAGGACATCTGCTGCGTAGGGTCTACTCCAGGCTGCCTGATCAAAGGGAGCCTGTGTGTGAGGCCTTCTTGTTACAGAAGGCTCTCATCCTGATGGGGGATTTCAACCACCCAGGTGTCTGCTGGGGAAACAGGACGATGGACTGCAGGCATTCCAGGAGACTCCTGTCCTGACCCACGTGTTGGACAGACCAACCAGCAGTGAATGGAGCAGGTGCTCATCAATGCAGATGAGCTCATTAAAGAGGTTAGGGCAGCAGGCACTTGGGCTGTAGTGAACATGGCCTGCCTGAGTCAGAGATCAGGAGGAACAGGGGCCTGACAAACAGCAGAGTCGGGATCCTGAACTTCAGGAGGGTGAACTTCTGCTCAAGAAGCTGTTGGATGAGATCTTCTGTGAAACTGTTGTTAGGTGCATAGGAAGGGAACAGAGCTGGCAGCTCTTTAAAGACACCTTTCTGAGAGCATAACAGCTCTCTAACCCCCAGCATAAGAAGTCAGGCAGAGGAGGTAGGAAATGGACATGGCTGAGCAAGGACCTGGTGTTCAAACTGAGGGATAAGAAGGACATGTACAGGAAGCAGAAGCAGAAATAGGTCGTCTGGGAAGAGTACAGGGATGTTGTGCAGATGTACAGAGGTGAGATTAAGATAGATGAAAGTAAAATTGATGAGGCATTTGAAGAATAACAAGAAGGGGTTCTGCAGGTCCATTGGTCAGAAAAGACAGGCCAAGGAGTTCCCCCTCTGATAAATGAAAAGGGAGAACTGGCTACAATAGACATGGAGAAGGCCAAGGTACTTAATGAGGTATTTTCCTCAGTCTTCACTGGCAGTCAGGTTTCCCCTTGTCTCTAGCATCTCTGAACCTCTTGGTAGAGACTGGGGTAGCAAAATACCTTCCACTGTAAGAGAAAAGCAGGTCCAAGACCACCTCATGGGACTGAATGTGTACAAGTCTATGGAACACACATGTCGGAGTCCTAAAGGAACAGGCTGATAGGTTTCTAAGCTACTCTCCAGCATACTGGAAAAGTTATGACTGGTAGGCAAAGTCTCTGGTGACTGGAGAAATGACTCCCATTTTTAAGAAAGCGAGAGAGGGAATGAAGACCCAAGGAACTACAGGCCATTAGGCTATTAAGCCTCACCTCTGTGCCTGGGAAGATCATGGAACAGGTCTTTCAACACATGTGAGATGAGATTATCTAGGAAAGCCAGTTCAGTCCCATTAATGGTACATTGTGCCTTATCCTTCTAGTGGCCTTCTACAATGAAGTGATGGCATCAGTGGACAACAGAACAACGGATGTCATCTGCCTGAGCTTGTAGGCCTTGCTTGCCTTGAGCAAGGCCTTTGACAGGGTCCTACACCACATCCTTATCTCTAAATTGAGGTGGTTTTGATGAGTGAACTATTCAGTGGATAATAATTGGTTGGTTGGATAATTGCAGCCAGGGAGTTACTGTCAATGGATCTATGTCCAAGAGGAGGCCAGTGATGAGTGGTGTTCCCTTCGACTCCATCTTGAAACTGGTGCTCTTTAACAGATTTATTAATGACATAATTGACAGATTGATTACATCCTCTGCAAATGTGCAGACAATACCATGCTTAGTGGTGCTGTTCATACGACAGAACAGATGTCATCCAACAGGACCTGGACAGGCTTAAGAAGTAGGCTCATGTGAACCTAATGAGATTCAACAAAGCATTGCACTGATATGTGCACAGATAAGGAGAAAAACTTGGTGAGAGTTCAGAGAGCAGTCCTGCAGAGAAGGACTTCAGGGTTCCGGTAGATGAAAAGCTGGACACAAACCAGCAATGTGTTCTTGCTGCTTGGAAGGCCAAATGTATCCTGGTCTGGATCAAAAGCGGGGCGGCCAGCAGGATGTGGGAGGTGATTGATTGTTTCCCTCTGCTCTACCCTTTTGAGGCCCCATCTGGAGCACTGTATTCATGCCTGGTGACCCCAGCACAAAAAGATGCAGCACAGCTGTAGTGCATTATGAGGAGGATCAGAGGACCTCTCCTATGAGGAAAGGCTGAGACAGTTGGGCTTGTTCAGCCGGGAAATGGCTCCAGGGAGACTCCATTGTGGCTGTCCAATATTTAAAGGGAGCTTATTATAAACAGGATAGAGTGGGACTTTTCACACAGTCTGATGATGACAGGAAATGGTTCTAAACTAAAAGAGGGGATATTCAGATTAGATAGTAGGGGTAAATTCTTTCCCTGGGAGGGGGGGAGGCAAAGCACTGGAAGAGTTCCTCCAGAGAAGGTGTAACACCCCAATTTTTGGACGTATTCAAGGCCAGACTAGATGGGGCCCTGGGCAGCCTAATCTAAAGGGTGACAACCCTGCCCTCAGCATGGGGTTGGAAATAGATGGTCTTTAAGGTTCCAGCCAAATAAAGCCATTCTATGAGTCTCTGAGTGTGCCTGTGAAGCCAGCCCTGAGAAGACCTGTTAACAAGGAAAATAAAGCAACTCAGTTTGTTCTATTGCCAGATTCATAGAATGGCTAATTAGAAAAATATTCTAATGATGTAGCTATTAATTGCTATTAGTTATCAACAGAAAATCTCTCATCACAATTAATAGCATTGTGTCAACTTTTACACCTTTGTGTAGGGTTTTTATTAAAACTATCAGTATACTATTAAGCTTATATGATGAACACCATACTTCTTTCTTCAACAGTGGTGAGCAAATTATCTTCTGTAGTTATTCTGGACCTCCACGCTGCAAAGCAAAAAATAGACAGTTAACTATTTTTCACTAAAAGAAAGGGAAATTGAGATCCAATCTTCCTTTGCAGTTACAGATTAACAAACAAGTCCTAGATTTAACTTATTTACACTTTGATTTTTAATTTATAATGGACACGCTACACGTCAGAAAAATTATCATTAACAGCTCATTTTCCACATGGAACAATATAAACAGTATAAAAACCTCTATAACCTATATTTGCAAATGTTCCCTATTCTCTCAGATGGAAGAAATACGACTTCACTCACTTTAGAAAGGTCAGACAAACAGCGGTAGTAGTAGTTTCAGAATTTGTTTTACTGCCCAAATTCCAAAGGGCAAACTAAAAGCAAAGCCCAGGTAAGCCGCTATAATCTTTATGTGAAATCAGAAATTATTTTACAACTTGCCTCATGGTTTAAAAAAAAAAAAAAAAGGAAGTAAAGAAGTAAAGATGCATGTACCTACAGGAAAGAGATCGTTTTATTTCAAATTTAAATAGTCAACCCACTTCATGCTGAAAAATAGGTTTCCTGTACTAACACTGTTATCCTTTAAGTGTCCTTATCATTTAACAAAGCTACTGTCTAGCTCTTCAAATTCTGTGCATTCTCCCTTTTTAAGTAAAAATGTTTACATTTGAAAACTGTTACAGAAGAAAAGCAGTTTTTCCCTGACTTTACCATGTAATGCTGCCACTGCAAATATTTCAGGAAATATTTCCATCAAACTTAGCTAAAACGTTCCCAATAATTATAAGTGCAACAATTAACTTCCCATTACATAATACTTTCCAAAATAGTTTTTACGAATTTTGTGCTTCAGCCACCTGGCAAAGGCTGGTCCACAAGCAGAATTCTGTGCTGCCATCCAACATATTCACATTATACATTAAACATCTATTATAAAACAAGAAGTGACTATGCTTAATGTAGGCTCTACTTATCACTACCTGTCTACCTCTGCTTTAAATCTGGATCTCATGGCAACACCACAAGCTACTGATTAGTAAGAACTCCGAACCTCAAGGTTCAAGGATTTGTAGTTTTGGTACTGTGTATCAAAGCTGCAAAAGCTTTTCTTAACAAAAAATTATAATGTATTATCTTACGTGAAACCTTAAGAACCTGCAGAAGTAAGAAGAATGTTGGGTAAATAAGAGAACACACAACAGTTACTGAGACTTACTTGAATATATTCAATCTCTTCAACTGACATAAGTTTCCTTCTGTACTTTTGAGGTAAGATTCTTGCTAATTCAGAAGTGTCTGGTGCACCTTGTGCCCTACTAACAGGTGAAATATTTTGAAAGGCCAGTGGTCTCCCTCCTATGGACTCCTGTGCATTTGAAGCATGAGGTGATGGAACACTTGCTTGTAGAGATTCCTGTACTGAAACCCAGATTGAAAAGCAGTGTAAAGAAATGTAATGATATTGGACAATTAGACGAGTGGCAAATATGTCATTGACAATTACTTTTGTCCTAACAGATATTAATATACTCAACTAATCATATCCTGTTTTTACTCCTACTAAACACATCAAAAGCACAATGAAAATATTCTGAAATTAAAAGATAATATATTCAAGTGGAAGAAGTGTTAATATGGAAAGAAAAATGAAATCAGTAAATATCCTAACAAAGGCTTTTTTTTTTTTAAGTGGGAAGTTTTTTTTGCAGAAAAAGTATACAGTATCATAATTGTGTTGTGGAGAGGGTAATGCAGAACGACAATTAGGATGAATAACTAAGGTCCACTGAGATGATGCTTTTGTTTACTGCAACTGTAAAGAAAGACAGGTGAAAAAGAGCTAGAGGCTTACAGAAAGGTGAATGTCACAACAGTGACATACCACACCACATGCAACTCTGCACTTGTTTTTAATATTATACAACGGACAGTGAAGTGTATCAAATTATGTCAGTAATGTGCAGAATGAGGATCACATATTGAGCATCAGCGATCAAACTGTTAATGAGATGTAGTGACCAAGTAGCATATATTAAATACTTTACAGGTGAGGTCAAGGAGCAAACTTAAGGAATTTGCAAGAGGGAAGCCGCCTCCAGTTTGAGAACAGAAAACTGGTAACAAGCAGGCATGATTTATGTTACCATAAATCAGCATTTTGGATCTCAGGTCTGTCCCTCCATGTCAGGTCTTACAGCACAAATACAATTACCATGCCAGGCAGGACTGAGTTCCATAGCTATACGTTTACATCAGAAGTATTGAAGACCTCTGTATATAAAGTTAAAAGACCTGATAAAGCAGAATGCTTCCACAGGAAGCTTTTCTCAGTGCGTCTGAAAAATTATCAAGAAGAACACAACATCTAAGTGGCTGGAATAGAAGGACTCAAAATTATACAACAACCAGCATCATCAAGACTGAGCAAAGATGTTAAGATGCCTCAATACTGTCTGCACCTCTCCCTGCTGCCTCCAGCAAGATTGGTAAAGAGAAAGGAAGAGCTATAGGATGTCTGAGTCATTTGGGACAAGAATGAAAACCAGCTGCAGCAAAGTCATCCAGCCACTGTTGGTAAAAACAAACAAATTCCCACCCCCCAAAAAAAACCACAAAAGCAACAAAAAATATAACAGAAAACAGAAAAACGTCACTGAGAGGTGTAACCAAGAAGTTCTCAGTCAAAAAACTGTACCCGAAAGCTACAAATCGATCAGCTGGTTCAGTAAAGGAGGTCTCAAATAGAATGAGGAGGAAGAGAGCCCATCAACAGGCACACCAGCTGAACAGAGGGTATGCCATTATGATGAAATTCTAAAATTTCAGAGTGGAGGCAAAGGGAACAGAAAAGGAAAACAGAGAGAAGAGCTGTTTGCCAGATTTCATGCAGTTTTGGTTAGTAGGGCCTAGAATATGTTTTTGTTTCAAAAGATAAAATATATGAAAAATGAGAAACTTTTTCCAAGCTTGTTTTATATGCCATGAAAACATTTAGATTTGCCTGAGATTCTCCTCTATCATATAGTTTCAAGTCTGATATACAGTTGGAACAAAAGCATTAGTCAAGTAGAAACATGAGAACTCAGGATTGAAAAGTATCAGACCTAAGCTGCAGTTGCTTTAGCTCATCACTGTCTACCACTTCTTTTCCTTCCCTGTTTGATAGCATACCGCAATAGTAATACCATAAAAGAATTTCACTGGCCTTTCAAGCACAGAGTTTCTAACAGCAAAGCCTTGATCTGCAACATTCTGTTTGGCTGTTTGGTATAGTGAGACACAGTTACTGCTGCAGCCTTTGAGCAAATAGACAGATTGCAATTTTTGAATGGTCTATCATAGAACAAAAGTGTATGGTGGCAAAATTCTTCCGATGCAGAGATAAACAAGGTGTAAGTAACACGCTTTTTATGCCTCTAAGAAAGCACATCACTAGCATGAGAGGCGGTATGAATGACAAAGTCATCCCAAAACATAGTTCCTGACTAGTTCATAGGCATGACAGAAGTGGCACTGATGTGCACTGTAGATGCTTTGTGTAAATGGATAAACTAGCCTTACAGCTGCATTACAGATGTAATAATGCTACGACAAATATACAGAACAGTTACTCATGTACTAAGTTGCTTCCAAACGTTCTTTTTACTGAACAGTCATACTTCACACTTCAGATTGTTTTACAGAATTTGGAATCTGAAGGCAGTAGTTTCTCAAATTTAAAATTCATGTTTTTAGCCATCAATATTTGAACATTAGGAAAAAAAAAGAAAAAGAAGAATCTTTAGATGTCTAAGCAAGTCTTCCAGGAGATAATTCTGGTGCTGAAAATTTTTGACCTGAGTATTAGGAAAAAAAATAAAACAAAAAAAAATAAAAGAGAGCAATGTAAGACAGCTTTCTAAGATATTTCCTATTTAAATAAGACATTTGCTATTTTAGTTTCAAATGCTTTGTTGACTCCAAAGAGAAACAACAACATTCAGCTTACATAGCTTTGATGTCTAAATATAGCATCTTCAGTACTGAACATCAACACAGCTATAGGTATAGATTGATGTCTCAAAGATGGCCACGGAAATATTTTTTTTTTCTCAGCACTGATTAATAAGACCAGGAAACACTTCTTAAAACTTACAGTGGGATAGCTCTGCCACCTGCAACCAAGGTTTTAAAATAAAACAAACACTAAATACCACAAAAATCAAGAAAAGAAGAGATGAGGAAAATACAACAACATTTCTGTAAACATCACTGAATCCTTAAAGCTGACCTTGGCACAACCAGCTCAGGTGAATATGAGTACGTGCAAAAAAGGGACTTTGTGTGAGTAGGAAATCTTCAAGGATCTGGTCTGACCAAGGAACAGATGGAAGAAATAGACATGCATTATTATTTGTACTCCTCCAGTTGTAGAGAAGACATCAAAGAGTCATTTCAACCTAAAAGCGGGGAACTCATGGATAAACTAAAAGAAAATAAGAAATTAAATGTGGAAAAGGGGCCTGTCCACCTGGGATAAATACAGGAATGTTGCCAGGGCCCATAGGGATACAACGAAGAAGGCTAAGGCCCTCTTGATATTAAACCTTGCCAACAAGGAAAAGGATAACACAAAAAAATTTCTTTAAAGTATGTCAACAGTAGAAGGAAGATGAGGGAAAATGTAGGTCCCCTAACAAATGAAATCGGTGCCCTGGTAAAAGGGGATAGTAAGAAGGCAGAGGTTCTGAATGCCCTCTTTGTTTCAGTCTCTAATGCTAAAACTAGCCCTCAGGAATCCCAGACCCTTGAGGTAAGAGAAAGAGTGTGGGAAAGGAAGAGTTTTTGTAGGTTAAGGTGGATCTGGTCAGAAAGCACCTAGCCAAAATCCAACAAAACACACACCTATGGCCTACAACAGATTGCACTCACGTGCTGAGAACTGACAGAGGTGATTGCTGAACTGTTCTCTATTGTTTTTGAAAAGTCTTGGCAAATGGGAGAGATGTCTGAAGACTGGAGGACAGCCAATGTCAGTCTTCAGAAAGGGAGAGGAGGAGGATCGCAGAAACTACAGGCCAGTCAGCCTCACCTCTGCCCTAGAAAGGTGACAGAACAACTTCTTCTGGATGCCATCTCCAAGCAATTGGAAGAGCAGAAGGTTATCAGGAGGAGTCAACATAGATTCACCAAAGAGAAATCATGCTTGACCAAGTGATAATGTTCTATGATGTCATCAGTGGCTGAATAGATGGGGAGTGAGCAATGGATGTTGTGTAGCTTGACTTCAGCAAGGCATTTGACACTGTCTCCCACAACATCCTTGTTATGAAAATTAAAAAATGTGGGATACATCAGTGGACAGTGAGGTGGATTGAGAACTGGTTGACTAGCCGAGCTCTGAGGGCTGTATCAGTAGTGCAGAGTGGTTGGAGGCCAGCAACAGAGCGGTGTTCTCCAGGGGTCGGTTCTGGATCCAGTTTTGTTCAACATCTTCATCAGTGACCTGGATGAAGGGATAAAGTCCACCCTCGAGGAATTTGCTGATGATACAAAACTGGGAGGAATGGCTGAAGGCTGTGCTGCCATTCAACAAGACCTGGACAGACTGGAGAGTTGGGAGCAACGTGATAAGATTGAACAAGAGCAAAGCAAGTGTAGAGTCTTGCACCCAGTGAGGAATAATCTCATGCATATTACAGGTTAGGAGTGACCTACTGGAAAGGAGCTCTGCAGAGAAGGACCTGGGGGTCGCAGACAACAGGTTGGCCATGAACCAGCAGTTGAGCCCTAGTTGCTAGAAAGGCCAATGATATCCTGGGGTGCATTAGAAAGAATGTGGCCAGCAGGTTAAGGAAAGGAATTCTCTCCCTCTTCTCTGCCCTGGTGAGGCCACATTTAGACTACTGTGTCCAGTTCTGGGCTCCCTAGTTCAAAAAAGGAGTCCAGTGGAGGGCCACAAAGATGATTAAAAGCCTGTGCAAGGAAAGGCTGAGTAACCTGGGTTTGTTCTGTCTGGTGAGAAGAAAACTGCAGGGGAACTCAGTAAATGTTTATGAATATCTAATTGGAGGTAGGAGGCAAATGGATGAGGCCAAGCTCTTTTGGTGGCATTGTGGCGTGGCAAGAGGACAAAGAGAAATGGCCTAAAACTTGAACACAGAAAGTTCTGTACTAACATGCAAAAGAACTTCTTTACAGTAAGGATGACAGAGCAACTACAACAGGCTGCCCAGGGAGGTTGTGAAGTCTTCTTCTATGGAGATATTCAAGACCCACCTGGACACTTACTTGTCTGACCTGCTGCAAAGTATCTGCTCTAGCAGGGTTTTGGACTCATGATTTCTCATGAGGTCTCTTCCAACCCCTATGATTCTGTAAAACAATCCTTTTTCAGAAACTTTACTCTGAATCAGTGGAGTCATTTGGCTGAAGCAGAAAGTGCATTCTGGTATATAACCGGTAAGGCAACGAGATCTGGGGCCTGCTGCATCCCCAGGGAAAACACTTACTTTTAGGCCTGGGACCGCTTTTTCTGTCCGGGAACTTAATCAGCGGAGTATGTGGCTTCACTACCTGCAACGTAACAAGGCAGAAGAGAAAATAAGGTGAATAAGGTGTACTTCCGACAAACACCAACATCGCAGTAATACAAAGGGACACGCACCGTTATACAGCCCTCCATACCGCTGCTCTGCGCACTGCCAGCTTGACCACCTCAGCGGCCGCCTTTTCGCTTCCAGCCATGGAGGAACTTCACCTCTGAAGGTCTTCCTCCGCCCTCGCGGCCCAACAGGGGCGGCGCTTTCCCTTCGCCTCCTTCGGCCACCGCCGCGCGGCTTAGGGAGCCCCGAGCAGCTCACAGAGCGCCGCGCACCGCGGGACCCGCTCCTGGCCGGCCCCGCCGCCCGCCCCCTCGCCAGTCCAAGGACACCGCCGGCCTCCCCGGGGCAGCCCGGGCCCAGGCCTCTCCGGGCCCCGCCGGCCGCGAGCGGGGCCCCTCGGCCACGCCAAGCTGCCGGCCCCGCCACCGCACTGTTTGCGCCGTGCCCTCGCGGAGTGCGCCGGTACCTGCACGACTCGAGCGGCCGCCGCCATCTTGCTGCCCATGGTGCCCCCCGCCGCACGCAACGCCGCCCGCACGAGGGGCAGCGCCGCGCCCCGCCCCGCGGGCAGAGCGAGCAGAACGGGCGGGGCCGCAGGGCGCCAGGCGGGGCGACCGCGGGAGGTGACTCCGCCCTTTTGAAAAGCAGGCGCCTCGCCATAGCAGAAAGTCATCTTTATTTAGGCCGTTAGACGCAGACAGGTTTAGCCGATCGAGTACAGGTCAGGCACGGCAGCGTTGAAGGTGGGGCGCTGCTCGCACGCGCGAAGCCGCTCTCCTCACCTCAGTCCAGTTTTCCAGGTGGGACCGCCGCAGCAGCGGGTGCTCCACCTAGCTAATCACATTGCAGTGCAGAAACACACTTCAGAGCACACAGAAAACGTCCAGAGCTTAAAATGAGGTTAGGAGCAAGTTGTGCAGCCTGAGCTCTGCATGGGCCGTGGTGCCCACAGCCTGGTGGCACAGGGCCACACGGGCACCTCTCTGTGCAGGTTGGTGGCAGGGCTGCACTGTCAGCCCCTCTGCCTAAGTGATCGTAACACACAGGTTATTTCTTGTACTGTTGCTACATTTCATGGGGAAATGAGCTCTTGGCATAGCACAGCTCAAGCTCACTCTTCAGCTCCTTTAGTCAGCTATGCAATAGGTATTGTCACATCTGTTATCTACCAAGTTAGAATATCATTTTGGAAAAATGAGTGGCACGGCTACATCCTGGGTCTGTAGATAAGAGAAATTTCAGAAAGGTTGAAATCTCATATTGAAAGGCTGATTTCACTAAATAAGATACAATGTGTTAAGTAAGTACAGTCTACAATTAAACACCATCTTGCCGACTACAAGAGATTCTGAATGGAGATATCTTTCTCAAGCTGTAGAATAATTGCTTTTAAGGATGGATCTTTCATCCAGTTGACTTGGCATCCAACTATGATATTCTGCAAGACAGAAAAACCATAGTTTAAAAACCACAAATGTCTTCAAAAAAGGATCAAAAGGTGAGCGTTGGCTTTTTTATCTGCTTTTTTCTTTCCAAATTTGGAAGTCCTTGACACTGAAAGCATTTTTTTCAGTGCCTGGCAGGACTAGGGGAGGGAGGAGATCTTATTGTCAACACAAGGGCAAAAAACAAGCAAACTAAACAGCCCTTTAGATTTTCTGCTGGTGCTGGCACACTATTCCTATTTTAAAGATAGCCATTTAAGAGGTTTGTTTACTCTTCTTTTTAACCACATGAAAGAAAGTTTGCCCTAACACACAATGATACAGTTTCTAACATTCTCACTTTGCCTTTCTGGATTGAACATGGGAATTTTTAAATTTAACCAAAAAGACTTGTCCATTTCTGTCATTTAGAACATAAATAGAACTAGTTAAACGTAACACAGAACCCACTAAAACATTCAATTTCCCATTCTTAGTGAGAAGAAACACATTTCAAACCACTGGTAGACAAAGCATGCAACACAAAAACACGTGGCTTTTTTTCTGTTCTTGATATTCTTCTAAGCATATGAATTCACAGAATAGTTATATCCTGTCTTCCATCTAAACACCTCAACACGCATGTGTATTTAAAGAAACTGCATTCTTCACTGCATTTCCATAACTGATTAGACAAACTCATAGCTCTTGTAATTCACTGTGCCTCTCATCTCTGCATTAATTAGGTCACTGATCTGCAAAGTAAGGTGTTGCAAGTGATGCTGTGAAAAGACAAGTACCAGCCAGCAGCGGAGCTTTAGTAGAGCCCCTCTAAGCACAGGATGTTGCAGGAAGCTCTCCTCCTACTCAAATCTCGTATCAGTTTTCTACCTTACTTCGCATGATGCCAAACTCCAGGAAATCTGCCAGCCAGATTTACTAATACAGACTATTCAGCAGTAGCTGACAGATGAGTAACCAAGAGCATGAAGGCTACGCTGATGAAAACATTTAAAAACATTTTCACAACACTGTGAAGGGCAACATGTAATTAGAAGCAGTCTGGCTCACTGGTATCACAAGTTTAAGACCTACTTATTCATTCTGGTTTGATGGGTGTAGGGGTGACTCACGATGTAAGGAAATATGGCCTCTGCCATGATAGACACACTTCTGGAAAATGCATTATTTATGTAGTTTTAAGGGAATAGAGAGATGGACATTGATAGACTGTTTCTAAACTCTGTAAGTAATTTTTCCATACAAGCTCCTAATAATTTAACACTTTTGGTTTTTAAAACAATAAGGTATGCCTTACTGCAGTTTTTTTAATTTGATGCTGTTATAAAAAGATTTTAGAAAACACAGTTTTGTTTGAAGTTACATTCAGTAGTTATCTTTTTGTAGTGCAAACTACAAACTGCTTCTGAAAGCTATAATATTACCTGGAGTATATTCTGAATTAACACAATCACCTTCCTTTCATACTGTACATTCCTATGGAGTAACTTCAACTTTTCACTGATTTTCATTCTTGCTACTTCCTTTTTTTTCCTCATTGTGGTAGAAACTCGCAGCGCCTTCTCTCCTTCGGCCTGTTTCAGAACTGTTTCATTATTAGGAAAACAAAGCATTCAAAAATTGATTAGTGGGCAGAAGACCTAAAGAGCTGCTTCTTGCTTGTAGACATTCCACTGTAATAGATCAAACTCATTCCATCCCTTTCCTCCAACGCACCTTCCACGAGAAACAAATGCTGTGGGTATCTGGTACCAACATACACCGACTGGTTCCCTGGCAGCTAACAAAACTGTCTGCATTTCCATCAGACATGGACGCTGATTTGAACACCTGTCCCACACCCTGTCTTCATTTGGCACAATTTTACAGACAGAGGCATTTCAGATCTTTTTCCCTTTCTCAAATGTGATGGAAAGCAAATTCAAAAGCCACACAAGGGACACATGGACAATACCAGTAATATTACCCCTAGAAAACTAGGCTAAAAGTTAGGATGAATAAGGGAGAGTTCTTAAATAGAAAGCATGAACAGGAAGCCCTGACCCAGTATTCCTTCCCTTATTTCTCAAGATATTATTGAAAAGTTATTTCAAATCTAAGTTTGATCCACCGTAATAAGCATATTGAATAACAAGACCTATACGGCTACACAAGTTCTTTGTACGTAAATCCACTCACTCCTAATTCACAAACATTTAACAAAAGTACAATTTGACAAAAAAAATATCCTTTAGGCCTCTAAGAACTGATCTGAGTTCATAAGTGAAGTGTAACCTGCTGGGGAGCTTGAACTGAATATTGAAACATCATCACCATTTTTTTAGCACACTCTTGTATCTCTGGCCTACTATCTGACTGATATAATTGTATCAGTCTTACTTTCATGTAGACGTCATACAAGCTTATTTTTATATACTTCACACACCCCTCTTCAGAATTTTTATAACTGTATCGGGAATTTCATAGTTACTTAATATTTCTGAAGAAGAAGTTTAAGATGTGAACCATATTTTTAATTAAAAAGCAAAACCAATATATATAAAACACTTACGGTATCTTCTCCTTCTAATGTCATTCAAATTCTCTCTAATCACACGTGCTTGCTGAAAGAAAAAAAGATCCTGGACTGTTATCTCCTATAAATATTGATGATGCTAATTCAGTCTGCAGAAACAGTTAAGTGCAGCTTTAGAAGCAGACATTTTCACATATTCATATTAAGTAACCATTTTGCTAATTTTAACGACCCTAGGAACCACATTTGGGCCACATATCTACTTCAAATGACTTGTGCATTCCTGTCACTTGAAACTGTTCCTTTGTCCGTACTGAAGTTGGCAGGCCTGTGTAACTGCAACAGAAGGTACAACCGACTCTTACCTGATGAGCTTGAAATATTTCGCAGTTGAGCTTGATTATGTCTTTCATTCTTTCCATAATTAGTCTAATGAAGGAAATAAAGTTACATTATTTATGACCATTATGATGCGTCAACAACATAAATGCTTTAACCAAAGTTATTTAATCAAAAAATGGCCATTTATCTTAACACCAAAATAAAGGGTACTATACCAAATATAGTTATAAGCACTATATAGTCTCCTTATTTCCACCCAGTTTTGCTAATGTTTCAGTTAAATTTGTCTGATACTTTGAGTCATAAAGCCTGTGAAACAAGGAAGCCAAAGCACTCGAGAATGACAAGCGATGGAGCTCCTGATGGAGTTCCAGTTCAGGCCTGTGGCAGGGATGTAATGGAGATCAGATGGAGTGCCTGCCTAAGAATGTGGCTGTTCAGGTCTCTGGATGCAAGGAATGTCAGAGCCTGCTGCTGCTGCTAGAGTGGCAGGGATACTACCTGCATGAGCTGTGAACACGTATAAGATCTGCTCAGCCTGGTGGCAGAACTCAAGGAGCAGGTGGAGAGGTTGAGGAGCATCAGGGACTGTGAGCAGGAGTTAGAGAGGTGGAGTAACTCCCTGCCATAACTGTGAGAAAGGCACTGTGGTGATACACCCCAAACAGTGGTGGATCCCCTCCCTGTCAGTGTTAGGCAGAGGGAGGGGACCTAGGAGACAAGGGAGGAATGGAATCAGATCCCAGCTCAGTGTTACAGGCAAACCCTGTCCCTACCTACCTCAATTCCCCAGATACTCCTACATAATAAGTTTGAGGCTCTGGATCTCAAGAAGTGAGTGAGGACACATGGAAAGTCCACCCAGCAGTTGTCTAGTGTGAGGCAATCGACTCCATGCCTCAAGACTGCCTGTGCCAAGGAGGAAAAAAGGGTAGTCATAGGCAACTCCCGTCTGAGGGAAAAGGAAGGCCCCATATATTGGCCACACTCTATCTGTAGGAAAGTGTGCTACCTCCCTGAGGCCGAGGTCAGGGACTGGGGCTGAGGCAAATGGCAGCAGGCAAACTATGACTTAGTTTCCATTATGGAAACATGGTGGGATTGCTCCCATGACTGGAGTATTGCAGTAGATGGCTATAAGCTTTTCAGAAGAGATAGGTATGGAAGGAGAGGGGCAGCAGCCTGGCTCTCTGCCTTAGAGAGTGTTTTTAAGTTGCTGAGCTCAGAGCTGGGAATGATAAGCTTCAGTCTCTATTGGCAAGGATTGGGGAAGGGCCAACAAGGTTGATATCCTGGTGGGGGATCTGTTATAGACTGCTTAATTAGGATGAAGAGACAGACAAGGCTTTCTGTGAGCAGCTGACAGAAGCTGTGTGATCACCAGCCCTTGTTCTCACGGGGGACTTCAGGTTCCCTGATATATGGTGGAAATATAACACAGTGCAGAAACAGCAGTCTAAGTTTCTAGTGTGTGGAAGTTAACTTCCTGATACAGCTGGTAAGAGAACCTACTATGGAAGCACCCTGCTAGACCTGCTATTCACGAACAGGGAAGGACTAACGGGAGGTGTGGAGGTTGAGAGCTGTCTTGGAGAGTGATCATGAAACAATAGAGTTCTCCATTCTTCATGAAGTCAGGAAGGGGCCAACAAAACTGCTACTTTGGACTTCCAGAGGGCAGACTTTGAACTATTCAGGACCCTGAATCCTTGGGATTCAGTCCTGAAGGGTAAGGGGTCCGGGAAAGCCAGAGCTCCTTGAGAAGGAAGTCTTAGAGGTGCAGGAACAGGCTGTCTTCCTGTGCTGTTCCTGTAACTGGCAGGGAAGAAAACTGGCATGGTTGAACAGGGAACTTTTTCTGCGGCTCCAGGAGAAAAAGAGTGTCTACCTCCTGTGGAAAAAGGGACAGGCAACTTGTGGAGAGTATAAAGAAGTTGTTAGGATATGTAGGGAGAAAATCAGAAAGGCGAAAGCTAAGCTTGAACTCAAAAAACCTTACCGTGTGCAACCATCATTTTGTTTAACTTTCTTTCTCAGAGCATCCGTAAGCTGAATCCTGGGTGGTAAACAGAAGAAACATATCTCTGATGAACATTGACAGAAACAGAGATTTCAACTGAGAGATTATTTTGGTAAATATGCATTGGAAATGCATATTAAAAAAAAAAAGCAACAAAACAACCACAACAGTAACTTTCAAATGTCAAACTTGTTAAATACTGAAGCTTCATTCTCAGGACAAGAAAAGTGTATCAATCAACCATTTGTAGGAGTAACAATGCATTTCTCTCTTGACAAATATGCTTCAGACACCATTAGTCCCAGTCTGCAGGAGGGATGCTGGGCAAAGGTAGGAATTCAAATGAACAGTCATGCAACACAGGAGACACAAAACTATCACCCCCCACCCTTTCATAGGAATTTGTTAAATACTACCAACAACTTTGTTTCTAGATATACATACAAACTGCCTTTTTGTAATTCTGCAGGATCTCAGAGGCTTACATGTGTTTCTATTCATTTATTGTTATTTCCTATGGTACCTGCCTTTTTGTTCCTGGGGTTTCAATGGTGTTAAATCTCTCATGTTGGCAACACACACTACATCACTTTGAAATCCTATTTTAATTAGAATTATGCAATTGTGCATGCATGTGCACACAGATAAAGCAGCAGAAAGCCTCCAGCTAAATGGGAAGAAAAGCCACCTACCTTCGTAAGGCTAATGCTTTGCTTTCAAAGGCAGTTTTTACTTTCCCCAATTCTTCCAAACTTTCTTTGCCACTGAAAAAAAAAAACCCAACCAAACATGAAAAGAACAAAGAAGTTAAAAAGCAATCTCCAATTCTTTACTTGCTCTCTGCAATGAGTTTTTCCTCTAAGCTAAAAATTATTCAAGTTTCATATTTTAACATGGTGAAATATGCTACTGAATTCCAGCCATCACCAGAAGGACTGCAAATGTACATGGCAGGAATCAAGGCAGATACAGAACTATACTAGAAGATGGAGAGGAATATCTCTTTGCCATAGTTCCTTCACTCGCTTTAACTGAACCCTTACAAAGTAAGGATCGTCACGAGGAGTTCTTACCAAGCAGTGATAACCAGAAGAGCATTTCTGGCGTGTTTTAACTGCAGAACGGTTGGGAACCGAACCGAGAAGTTTGACCGTAAGGAATCGCATACCTTTCGACGAAGCTTAACTCCATACCATTGTTGCACTCTTCACCTGCAAAGCAAGAGCATCAGTTCAGCGCCGCAGGCGTGCCGGAGCGCGGCTCACGGCGCCCCCCTTCCCCGCCCGTCGCATCGCGCCGCCCGCCCGCCCGCTGCGCCAGAGGAACGATTCGGCTTTCGAGTGCTTCCATTTGTAGCTCGAGGGACGTGCCGACGGCGAAAAGGGACGCGGGGGAATGAAAAGCGACAAGAACGGCTCACGCCCCCATGGGGCGGGGGAGAGAACCCCGGCGGCTGCTTACTGTGGGGGCAGGCGGTGCTGAACTCCATCGCCAGCTGCTTCAGGTGCGTCCTCACGCTGCAATGGAGCGAAGGACACCGTCAGGCCCGCTAGCCCTCCCGCGCGCCGCTCTCAAGGCCACCGTCCGCGCGGCGCTCCCGCCCCGCCCCGCCCCGCGGCACGAACCAGAGATGCTCCAGGACGTCCCGCTTCGCGTTCGAATCGGCCGCATCCTCGGCCTCGGCGCCCGGCACGGGCCCAACGGACTCCGACAGCCGCCCCGCCATTGCCTCTCCTTCAAACAGCCGCGCTCCCGTCAACCAGCGCGAGCCGCCCGGCCGCGCGCACTTCCGCCCGTGCACCGCGGCCAATGGCGGCAGCGCCCCGCTTCTCCTAGGGGCGGAGCGTCGGCGTCTGTAGGCAGGGCGCTGCCACTGCCGCCAGGGGAAAAACAGCGATACGTGACGCTCGGGTGCTCGCTTAGCGTCGCCGCTCGCCCGTCAGCCACGGCTCCCGCCCGCGGACCCGCAGCTCAGAACAGACGGGACGAGGTTGCAGCGGGAAACAACAATCTTTATTATTAGAAGTGAAATACGTAAGACAGAATAAATAGAAACTCGTTGCTGACACTACTGGAATTGACAGAAGGAATCCACGAGAGGCAGGGCGAGGTCGCAGATGAGCAAAGAGTGCAGCTGCGTCATAACGCCTGTCCTGAAGTTTTTGCTCCTGGCATGCTTGTTCTTTACTGCCTGCAAACAAATAAGCAAGATGAAGTCTCTGCAGCTCCTGCCAAGCAGAAAGCAGCAGCAGCCATGGGTGGAGGAAGTGAACCATATCGTAGTCCAGGGGGATAAATCCAGCGGGTACTTTGCTAGAAACTGCTGTTGCTTATCTACCTGCAGTAAGTCAGTGTTGAGTATTGGCCTTCTCCTAGGCAAAAGCATCGTGTCAACTAATGGTGTTGCCTTTGTTTACTCAAGGAGGAAGAAATACTTCCTTAACAAGCACACTCAAGCTCTAGGCTTGACATGCCAGTGGCTCAGACACTGAGCGGTGATCAGCTGGGTTAGGTTGCTGCTACCTTTTTAACAGGTGTCTAGCGATCACCTGCAGTATCAGCTTTGCTTTGGTCTGGGCTAGGCTCAGTGACTGAAAGCAAATAGTTGATAAAATGTCACAGTTCTCAAACAGGAGTTTTGAACCATTTTTACAAGCTATCACAATCATATTACATCTTGCAGGCCTCTTACCAAATACCTCTTTTTGACTTTACCTCTGTGAATTTTGAAGCTCTTCTTAGAAACTGTAGAGGGAGAGGACAACTAAAGTCCAGGGCCTGCAGATTCTTTGTTTCCATCTGGCAAATTTGGGCTGACATGAAAGCATTAGGAGTTACGGTGGAAAAAAATCAACTGGTGGAACGTTTATCTCTTTGTACTTACTAGCAAGGAACAACACAGTGACACTGACCATTCTTTTCCGGCTGAGCGTTGTGCCACGTTAAAAAACAGTAGAGCTTTCTCTGTCAGAGTGGCTTGGCTCAGAACACACGTAGCTTCAGCTTTGTTCAATGGCAGGAAGTTCATATTAGCACGTACAGAGTAATAACACTGCACGGCACACCCGTCGGTGCCCTCGGGCTCCAACTCGGCAGACTGTAGAACAGAAGACAACTCAGCGGGGCCGGTGGAATGGGAATGCGAGGCTGCGTCCGCTCCGGGAGCGGAGGGCCGGGGGAAGGAGGTGGGGTGGCTGGCCCCTGACCGGCGGAGCCGCGCTCCCCGCCCAACACGAGGACGACGCGGCAGAGTAGGAGTCGGCTTCGCCCGCACGATACTTGGGGCGGCCGCGGGAGTTCTGGAGCCGCCCCGCTGCGCCGCTCTCTGCCGCGGTCCGCGCGAGAGGAGCGGACGAGCGTGCGACCGCAGCACCTCCTCGGCGGGCTGCGAAGCTGTCTGGGGCCGCCGGCCCGTACTCACCCTGTCGGAGTTCTGTGGTCTTGGAATGGCAGTTGTGGAATCTTAAAGTACTGTGGCTCGACGCTTAGCGTGAGCTGGCCCTGCCGCCGCGACATTGGCAGCGCCTGCCCTCTTCTGAGGAGCGGCCGGCGCGTTGTAGTGCAGCGGCGCGATCGGCAGGGGGCGCTGTGATAACTGTGTCTGAGCGCTCCTTAAACCCTGCAGCTGGGGGCCGTAAGCGCTGCCCTGGGTAGCCTGTCCCAATGCCCACCGCCCTCTGGTGCAGAGCTTGTGTCTAACACCCTGCCTAACCTCTGATGCAGTTCCATGCAATTCCCTCAGGTTCTACCGTCGGGCAGCAGAGAAAAACAGAGCAAATAGTGTATTTCATGGAGAAGCCTCATTTTATAATTAGCTAATTGATCAAGTGCATAATATAAGCCTGCGGTTAACAGGTGAAGCCTAGATCAAGTGCCCCCAGCCAAGAGAACTACAGAGGGAACTCAGGCCCTCCCTGGCATTTCTTGTTGAAGCACGCTCTCGAGCTCCATGCTCTGTCCCCTAACCCTTCCTATGACAGGAACTGGAACTACACACTTACACAGACTTTTAAGAAATATACTTATCTGTTTCCATCTGCCAAATGTGCAATATATCGCTGCAGTTTGCTTTAAATTAACTTCATCTTTGAACATGTCTCACTAGACCTGTCTGCACTCAAACTGAGTAAGTAGGATATGAGCTTCCCTGCTGTACCACTGATAGAATACAAAATAAATTGGCCTATGCTTGTGAATTGAGAAACTGCTCTTGCATTGCACTTCTCTCAGGCCTTGTGAGAAGCCTAAGCCCCTTCTTTGGAGGCTTACTGGTAGGTAAGGACTCTTGTGAAACTAACGTAAGATGGATAACTGTATTCTTGTCAGGGCATCCAGGAAAAAGCCTCTGTGTGTGTTTGGGAAAACGTGACATGCATCTTTGCATGCTGTTTGTCTGTGAAGATGCAGGCTTGCACTCTCCTGTTAAATATTCATTAAATGGATGAACTTCACTGCCATAGCACGGTCATCTAAGATGTTCCCAGCCACCTTAATGTGATTGTGTCCCAGCATGAGCAGCTGAAGCAGGAAATCAGCTTTTCTTAGTGAGAGCCATGACAACCAATAAGGCTTTTTCAATTAGGCTAAGCTAGCTTGCATGTAAAACCCAACAACAGCATAAAACCAACCAAAAGTGAAAACAACAAACTACTGGAGTAATGCTCAGTTTGGTAAAATGCTGTCAGTGCCACTGCAATCACTTCAGTGTGAGTGGTACAGTCAACTGAAGCTTCTTGCTTGAAAATGGTTTTCAAAACCAGAAACCATTTGCTATGCTTTTGAAACAACTGTAAGTACAGCACAGTTACTGAACTGCCATGAGCCTTGCAGAGGAGGGAAGGTGAGAAAACCACTACAAAAGGCATGAAATTGAAGAAGCTGAGATCAAAATTTGAGAATTCTGCTGGTTCTGCAGTAATGCCAATGCAGTAATGCAGTATGAGACAAATACAGCACCAGCAGGACAGAACGGAAGGCCGACTTTACCTGTTAGAAGAGAAACATCTCCGTTTGTATATACAGTCTGATCACAAGCAGAACTGTTCAGGGGTATTTCAGACTGCACTTCTGTTAAAGCTGCTCTGATACAGTAAGTTTAAAACACTTCACCTGATTTCAGTAACATCAAGAATTAAATCTCTGTTACGACACATAAGTACCTAGAACAAGAAAGCTGCATCACAATATGGGACTGCTGTGATACACAGAATTATGAAATATGTACTCACTCTTGCTAACAATTGAATTGGCTCCTGAATTTCAGGGAAAATACTTAAGGGTTTTCAGGCACGAGAAAGAGGTAAAGGAAAATGGAAAGGTAACTGCCTCTGAAGATGTATATTATGAATGCTGCAAATAGGTTTTCCCTAAAGAGAGATTTGTCTTCTCCAAGACCCCAAAATGCATTTATTCTTTCTTAAGTACATCCTTCTTCTTTCCTATCATTGACTCTTAATTTACACTTTGTTTCAATAGCTTGTCAAGTCCCAGACTACTACAGTGTGGCATTCTAAACCTGGACTATTTCCTTGGGTAACATAATCAGTGCAATTTGCTAATGTGCACCTGCAGCTGTATTGTATTACGGTTAAATCTTCAATATATATATGTATTTAAACCCAATAGCTCAATTATGCCTTTATTACCTATCCAGAAGGGAAGGCTTTCCCTTTTTACTAACTAGATATTCAATCACCACAGCCTATCTTGAACAAAATTCAAAGAAGATAAAGCAATTGAATAGCACGTCAGCAACAACTGAGTCACAAGCAAAGAAGATTTCACCTGCCAGCTCACTCAGCTGCTTTCCCTAATTTATTAACTGCCACTGTAAAACAGATTTTGACAGAGCTGAAAGCCCAGGAATCGTTAATTATCACAAAGAATATGAGAATATGAAGTCCATCCAGCTTGTTTCTTCTGTATGATAAAAATTGAGTAGATGACAAAATAATCTGTCTTGTAGAAGTAAAGATTTGCTGATTGTTAGCATACTGCCCAATTCATTACTTTAAGCTACTACCTACTGTCTTTGCAGGTATACACAAAAAAGTACATCATTTTTAGAGGCTTTTTGATTCTTAGTCCTTCCAGCAAACAAAAGAAAGCGTCTGCATTTTTTTCCCAGTTTTTTACTGTTGATGTGGATTTATCCCCTTAAGAAATACTTTGATGTAAATTTAAAATGGTAACGTCTATTTGCTCTGATGCAGCTTATAAAGGTTATATACCAGTACTAGATGCAGAGACATAATACAAAAACTGTGTATTTATTATCTAAAAAACTTTGCAAAAAACTCATTTTTGAGTTCAGCTTAATTTTTACTCCCCATAATAAATGTGTGAATATTTTTTATTCAGTTTTCAAACTACTTCTGGAAGAAAGAAAAATACTGTACAGTTGATTTTGTTTGTAGCTCAATATAAACTACTTCAATTTCTTACTGCTAAAATAAATTCATAAACATGATGTCCCATACTTAAGAGAACACATGGAATACATATAAATGTTCATCCACCAGTGGTAAGATTTCTGTTTAATGAACACCACACAATGTACAGTACTTAGGATTTCCATTATTTTCACATATACAGCAAATATTATAGTCCTTATTTCCTTTACAAAAGCATCTTGATTCAATCTTATTACAGATACAATGCTTAAAAAAAATCAAGACTATAGTACATTTTTTTTCTGTACATGTATGTGCAATATCCCCAGACAAAAATAATACAGACGT